TGCTTCAGCACCCTCAGAGATAGCCAAGGTGCGCAGCTGGTGCCGTATGTGACTGTCGTCAGTTGAAAGTCGATGAGTTTTCCTTCGTCGTCTTTCCAGAAGATTCGTTGATAATCCTAATCGTCTCGATGAACACGAATCTGGCGGATCATTTTCACAATGTCCGCACCAAATACTAAACGGATGACGACGTAACGAGATAAGAACGTCGGAGCTGTCTACTTGTAGCTTCGGTCCTGGATGGAGTATGTCGTTAAGTGACACTCCTGATGAGCTGCGATGCGATGCGTCGAACACCACTNGTAACCAGATAAGAACGTCGGAGCTGTCTACTTGTAGCTTCGGTCCTGGATGGAGTATGTCGTTAAGTGACACTCCTGATGAGCTGCGATGCGATGCGTCGAACACCACTCTCAATTTTGTGGTCGTGCTGTCTGGTTTAAGCACTTCATGATGAGGCAGGTAATATGCCTGATTTGGCTCTGAAGTTGAAGGTGCTCGCTGCATGTGATCCAGGGCCTCGTACTCTTCGATGAATTTCTTATAGAGGGTATCAGTGACTGGATTTGATGATAATTTTCCCAATAGCTTAGATAGCCGTTTCTTGGCCGTTGATGCTGTATCTCCCAAGGCGGCTGGTGATGATTTAAAGGGGAGACGCACGACATAACGTCCCGACGAATCCCTCTGATGAGTCTCGATAAAGTGTTGTTCGCATTCGGCTTCAGCTTTGCTCATGACAACTGTTGATGATGTATCCGGTAGCTCCTCCTGGAGCCAGAACTTTTTTAGGAGTTCTAATAATTGTTGATTCGCCGTCTGCGTTGATGTTTTGAAGGATGATTTGGCGACGCAGTCGTTACAACAAACTGGTCCCGATACTACAAAAATTGCAATTGCATTGGAATTTTTCTCCAGCCAAAAATGGACTGCTGAGCAATAAGTTCGGTTTTCTCAAACCTGATGATTTTCTCTCCGATGATTTTCCCATAGGCGTCAGCTCCAATGATGAGGTTGATGGCCCCAGGTCTCAAGAATTGAGGATCTGCCAATTGTAGTCCTCTTAGTTGAAGTGGGGTTGATGTGTTGCAAGTGAATGGCGGTATTTTCGCTGTCAACTTGCTCAGGATGTGAGTCTCCACGATGATCTGCACAGCAGGGTCATGTCTCGGTTGTAAGGCGAGTTTCATAACCCTACGTGTGTTCCCCGATGATGTTTTTCCGTTGCCGATGATGACCAGTGATGATGACTTTCGTTCCAATCGCAATTGATTGACCAAGCGTTCTGAAATCAGTGATACTTCTGAACCCTGGTCAATGAGGATCCTCGCTGGCTTTGAGAATCCTTGATAATTCAGGGCGTTGACCCTAGCTGTTGCCAAGACTACCAGTTGTGATATTCCCTGAAGAATTCGTTGAGCTTCCAGAACGTTGATGGTGTCCACCTGCTTTAATGGTCGTGGATCTGATTGTCCTTGATGAGTAACCTGTTATTTCTCTGATTGTTGGTGATGCCCTTGATGAGTATTCTGATGATTCTCTGATTGTCGAAGATCTCCAACACACCGTTGATTTGAATGGCGTTGTTGTCCAATGTGGTATTTCTCTGATTGATGATGATCTCCAGTCTGATTGTGAGGGGTCGATGATCTCTTCATCTCGATGAGTGACGTGACCGAAGATTTGATTTGCGATGCTGTGTCTTGGCGTGATGATGGACCTGATGATACGCTGACAGGATCTGCCTTGATGAGTGGCTGCTGTGGGATGAGGTTCTGGATGTATCCTGCCAACACACGGAATGGTTAAGCCCAGTTCAACTTATTGTCCTAATAGATTGATACTTAACCGCTCGCGTTCTGTTGCTGCGCAGCTGCGTCCTGCTCTTCAGAGCGTAACCTAGCCAACATCAGTGGTACGTTGTGGATGAGAGTATGATGCTCCTCGCCACACATCTTGCACCGTTGCTTGCTCATGCATCTGGGTACTTGATAAGGCATTGACCCAGGCAGTTGTAGCAGAGCCCCCTGTCAGTTAAGAACTGCTTCCTCTCGTGTGGCCTCAGCTCCATAAACTTTGGGCATTCCGGCCCCAGCCAATGGTCTTCCTGGTAGGCACTACACTCCCTCTTCTTGTCGACCGGTGGTGTAGACGTCTGCTCAGTCCCCGATGATGGCTTTCCTGATGCCTTTTTCGCGTAAGACACCTGATTAACCGAGGCCGTTGACTTAGGCTTCTGAAAGCCTTTGCATGCTGCTGCTCCGTCCTCATCTCATTCGACGTTCTCCAAGGCCCTCGCTCTGGCCTTGAGGAACTCCATGAAGACCTTCAACTCAGGAGGTTTCGTTGAATCCCCTAGCGACATTTCCCAATACTCTCGGGTTTTGGTGTCGATGACTTTCCTCAAGATGTGGGCCACTATGATGTCCCAATGCTCGACTGGCGCTCCAAGATTTTTCAGAGCCTCTAGGGCCTCCGAGACAGTGTCGATGATGAAGAGAAGTCCTGTCGCTGACTTCTCCTTGAGCTCCCGAAGATTGAGAATTTTGTTGAGATGAGCTGCCATGATGAGCCTTCGATTTTTATAGCGAGCGACCAGCTTTGCCCAAACAAATTGATAATTTGATGCCTCAGGTCCGATGTTGGAGATGAGTTCCGATGCCTTGCCCTCCAGCGCATTCTTCAACCTCACCATCTTGTCAATGTCGCTGAAGGGCTGGTTGTGCCCGAGCGAGACGTAGATGTCGTAGAAGCTCTTTCAGTTACCATATTTCCCATCGAAGTCAGGCAGTTTGATCTTCTCTATATTACTAGATAATGATTTTCCCGGTGATAATTCTGCCCTATTACTCGCTTGAATAGCTGCCTGAATGCTCCCCAACTCTCTTGTCGCTCGAGTGTAGGACTGAAGAGCTTCCTCGAAGACGTCGGAGACGAAGTAAGGATGTGAAAAGATCTCCTCCGCAGCCTCCTCCAGCATCTGTTCGTGGTAAGACGAAAAATTCATCCATTGTGTTTCGACGATGCGATGATGGGGCTCGATGTCCTCCGATTTGAGTTTTGCGACGTCTTCCCTTTTGATCTCCCCGATGGTGCCCCTCAATACTGACAGGCGGCTCATCTGGGTCTTAACCTTGTACTCAAAGTTAACAGGCCACGGGCTTATGATCCTCCTTTTCGATTCAGTTTCGAGAGCGCTGCGAACGTCTCCATGAAGGTCAGCTCCGTCTCCCTCTGGATTCTCGAGGTCCTTCAAATTTCCCTCGGTGTTCTCGGTGATAACTTCCACGTTGTCCATGATCTCGATGACGATCCCCCTTACCAAGTCAAAATTAAAGTTATCGACTTCCTCAGCCCAAGATAATTCCTTCGGTTCAGGATCGTCAGACATGAAAACAAGACCAATTCGATGAGATTCCGCGTTTTAATTTGAAGAAAGTGGATAATTTACCGACCGTAGGGTTTGATGAGGTGCCGATGAGTTACCGACCGTCGTTACGCCAACCGTCGATGGGTTACCGACCGTAGAACCCGATGAAGTGTCGATGAATTACCAACCGTCGAGCCGCTGAGTAACCCCTGATACTCGACTCAACTCTCGTCGCCCGTGCGCGTAGCTGTGTGAACCCCGTTGCACCGCGCGTTCCCAGCGTCTATGATCCCCACGTGATACTGCCCTTCACCACACTGTTTCTTGTCCCTATCCTTGATGATTATCCACTTTCAACACGATAGAAATCAATCACGATTTGATGAGCCGGGTGGTCGGAAGGAAAAGTGAGGTTCGGTTTTTGAGGTTGATAATTAGCCGGAGGTAATTTGATGAGTTTCCTTTAATAAACAAATAATCATGCACTAAAAATTACACAACACAGAGTTTAATAAATAGAATATTTCCGAGTGGACTGTATACGAATTAACAAAAAAGATGATATTCGATATTGTCTGATAATGGATACGATAATTTTTCGGCACTTTCACTCGATGAAGTTCGATGGCATACTAAATGATACGACACGCACGATCGTCCTCGTGCGTGTTCGTCGATGCCCGAAGGTTGCCGAGCGAGCAAAATTCGACATTTAGCCCGACTGAGGGATGATTTTCAACGGAGTAGCTCAACATAAACTGGAACCTGAAAGCGCAGGTCCGATGATTCGAAAAACGAAGGTCTCAAAAGTAATGAATTCTTGGAAATAATTGCAAAAAAATTTCGAAGTTCCAAAAAATAAATAAATGGCCGACGCAGGTCCATTAGTTCGCAGACACGAGAAATCCAAAAAAATTCCAGTAAAGGAGAAATAAAAAAACGAAACTTCCCTTTAGAGATCGCAGGTCAATTCAAATTCACCGCCTGGTCGGTATCGCAGGTCCCCGATGCGGCGCAAAAAGATCCGGATGAGCAACGCTTGCGGCCGAACTCTATTTCCCGCGAACTCGATGTCGAGAAGCAGAGGATGAGCACCATTGCTGAGACGCTATCCGTTTTTCACTCCCGTTTAAATCACTCAAAAAAACGAAAGACCGAAAAATATTCCACAGATTCGGCTGGAAGGACCAAAATGTTCGATGCCGGGTCTAAGATCTGTGGAATAAGCGAGCGATGAACGAGATGTAAATAGATTTGAGTTTTGAGGCTTTCGCGGCTAATATTATTATCCATTATGATGGCTTCCGCATGGATGCCGCGTCTAGATTCAGCTTTTTGCCGACGTTTCGCCAACATTTCAGTCTGCATCATCAGGACTAGGTTTCTCCAATACTAAAGCTCCCCGTTGTAAGGAAGTCCTTATATCCCCCCTGACCCCCGGAGCGGGTAGGTAGCGTCGTGGGGGGTATCCTAGCCATTCAAGATGTTTTTAATTGATCAGCTGGCCAATTAAAAAAACCGGGAGGACGGTGTGCCAAATTGGATTGGTTTGGTATCCTCGATCCCTATTGAGATTGTTCGGATGTTTTTGGATCTCGAGACCTTCGCGATGTTTTCTGGCGAAATACCCTTATGAGCTGGCAAGCATTTTCGTCTTGTCATATTGGATAGAGTGTCCAGTGTCCATCCAATGTTCAGCCAGTACAGATTGCGAGATATGGCCATTTTTCGCACACCGTTGATGTTCGTTGATGCGTGTACTGATCCACCTCCCGATTTCACCAATGTATACTTTTCCACTAGAGCAAGGGATTTTGTATACCCCTGGGAGACTAAGCGGTGGTCTCCGATCCTTAGTACTGGGGAGCATTTGTCCAATTTTCGTTGGTGGTTTGAAAATTGTCCTGATGTCATGCTTCTGTAGTACCTTGCTTATGCGATCGGTCGTACCTTGAAGATACGGGAGAACAGCCGTTTTCTGATGTTCTACTTTATCAGCAGGTTCACTTTCAGCTGAGTTCTTATTTTTCAGCCTGTGCAAAACACCGTGGACTTGTTTGCTCTGGTATCCATTGTTATTCAATGCTTTATCCAGGTGTTGAACTTCGGCTTCCAGGTATTGAGGGTGGGAAATAGTGAGAGCTCGGTACATAAGAGAGCTTATCACCGAGTTCTTTAGAGAAGGGTGATGGTGTGGGGAGGCATGGAGGTATCTGTCCGTATGTGTAGGCTTTCGGTAGACTCGGTGACCAAGACTTCCGTCCTCATTACGAGGCACTAGGACATCTAGGAAGGGAAGAGACTTCTGTTCCTCAATCTCCATAGTGAATTTTATGCTCGGATGTTGTGAGTTGATAAAATTCAGGAACTGAGGCAACGTGTCTACTCCATGTTTCCAGAGGACGAAAGTTTCGTCGACGTACCTGAACCAAACAGAGGGTTTAAGGGGAGCTGATTTAAAAACTTTGTTTTCGAAATCTTCCATAAAAATATTTGCTATGATGGGAGAAATGGATGAACACATTGCTGCTCCGAATGTTTGTTCATAGAACTCCCCTTGGCATTTGAAATAAGTGGAAGTCAGGCAGTGTTCAACCGGAGGGAGGAGTTTGGGTGGGATTTTTTGGGATTTTTTGATAATTTTAAGAGTGTTGGGAATGGATACATTCGTGAACGGGGACTCCACATCAAAGCTAACCAAAAGATCTCCTGGACTAGTCTGAATGTGAGACAGTTTATTCACGTAGTCTTGGGAGTTTTTGATGTGGAAACTATTCTGACCCACGAGTGCTTAGAGTGGTTTGGTCAGATAGCGAGCTAATTGGTACGTGGGGGTACCAATGTTGCTCACTATTGGACGAAGGGGGATAGTCTCTTTGCGAATTTTTGGGAGACCATAAAGTCTGGAAGAGAAGGATTCTCGGGGACTAAGGATTTTTTGGGTTTCGGGAGAGAGATCAGCTTCCTTCAGAAGTTTGACCGTCGTCCTCTCCATACCTGAGGTTAGATCCTTGTTGAGCTTTTTATATATATTCGAATTGCTCAACATGGCTTTGGTTTTATCAGAATAAGCTTCCTTGTCTATGACCACAGTCGCATTATTTTATCTGCTGGAAGGATGACAATATTGTCATTCTTCTTAAGACTAAGTAAAGCTAAGCGTTCCTCCCTAGTAATATTTTGATTGCGAGGTTTCGCTTTGTAGAGGATGTTGGACAGCTTTCTTCTGATCTCATTGCCAGTCTCCGAAGGGAGGTGGAAGATGGTCGTTTCCGTCTGGCTGATGATCTCTCCGGTGGGAATTTTGGTTGGGGCAACAGCAAAATTATGTCCTTTCGCCAAAATGGATACTTGGACCTCTGTTAATGGGAAACTTGACTGTATGTGTCAAGACTTTCGGCTTCGGAGGAGGGACCAGTTTCTCAAACTTCGCCTTCTGCTTTTTTGTTCTCAACTTGGCGGAACGGATAGCTTGTGCATATGTAATACGATCAAGCGTGCTCCATAACTCCGGTTCCAGAGAACTTGGAAGAATCAGGTGAAATTTGACCAGCTGATCAATGAAAAACATCTTGATCGGCTGGGATACCCTCCACCACTCTACCTACCCCCTCCATGGATCAGGGGGGATATAAGGACTTCTTTACAATGGGGAGCATCAGTAACGGGGCAACCTAGCCCTGATGATGCAGACTGGAATGTTTGCGAAACGTTGGCAAAAAGCCGAATATAGACGCGGCAGCCATCCGGAAGCCATCATAATGAATAATGTAAATAGATTCTTTACGGGAGCGTGAGAGGTTCCAAAAATCACAACACGTGCACGTTGGTCAAACACAGTCAGTTTAATTACAATAACGAGTGAATATTTACACGGGTTCAATTAATTATAATTATCGAGATGATCAACAGAAATAGCGTGAGTCACAGTATTATTGAGCAGTTCACAGAATTATCAATGCAGAGCAATAATACGCGGGACTCGAGAAGAACCACTCTGGGTCTGCGTAAACACCTCATTCAGGCTTTGGTGTTCAGCCAGTGTATCTGGCTGACTTTTTTGTGGCCAGTCGGGCCGTGCGGCCGGTGAGGGGTGAGGTGACTTCCCTTATGATCAAGCCTTTCAGGACTGAAGCCATGCGATTCTCCTTCCACGTGTCTGCGGCTTATTTATGGAACTCAATTCCCTCTGAAGTGCGGGACCTTCCCACACAGTCGCCTTTCCGATTAGCTGTGCGGAATTATCTGAGGGACAACTCTTAATGCTTTTCCTACGCTTTGCTCTCCTCTTATCACTTTTCCTCCCCCTCTTGTCCCTGTCTTCCTATCCCTTCTTATTCTTACACTCTTCCCTGTTTCATCGTTACCATTTGGCACTTGCTATTCATCCGTTTGTTTGGGACCCGCCGAAGCTTGCTCTTTCTGTTGCATAATGCTCCTTCTCATCTTACTCTGTATTTTATGTATCTATTATTATTAGCATGTATTGTTTACTCCGTGATATTCCATGTGATTTACTGTATACCAGCTTATGTGGTTTTGCCACCATAATTTTGTACAACATAATGTACAGCAATAAACCCAATCAATCAACCCCCCCCTCTCTCTCTCTCTCTCTCGCTCTTTCTCGCTCTCTCTCCCTCCCCCCTCTCTCTCTCTCTGTCTCACTGTCTCCCCTCCTAGCAACTGCAGGACCTTGACGACGGTGGAGGGGCTTAAGGGAAGTACCCAAACTAAGAAGCAGTTCGAGACAAGGCGTGTCCTTTTCAGGACATCTTGGAAAAGAAGCCCAACTCCAAACGTGGCGTGTAGGGTGGGCTCCCTTAAACAGCCTCACCCCAATGTCAAGGTGTTCACCGTGCCGTGTTCTGGAAGGCGCCAGGGGTGGTTGGCGTCGCAAACGGTGGTCCCTGGGGCACCAGGTCCCACCCCGGGTGTATTAAGTGGCCTTACCCCAGCAGCCGGGGCTCTGCGGGGGCGGACTGTTGTTACATCCCTAGGTACTCGTGGGAACAAAATGGAGGACCAACACAAAACAAAACTGAATAGAGATCAAGGAGAAATGAGCGGGCAGCATGCCAAACAAGCAGCACTTGATGCAACTGCAGCGATAAAGAGGACGCAGGCATGGGACTGGCTTGACCAGCTGATCACCGAGCTGTATAATTTTGCCAACCCTAAGCCGAACGTCCACAAGGAGATGAAGACGAAGTTAGCGGCTATTGCAACCGCTTATAGAAGACTGAAGGAGACAGAGATGGCTAGGCCAAGGCAAAAAAGCCCTCAGCATCTCTCGACACCAGTCGTAGTGCGGACGTCTGCAATGCCATCGCACACCCGTACTCTTTCGACTTTCCGAACCTCTATACGAGGGAAATAATTGAATAGTTATCAATGCACAAATTGAAAAATTCGCAGACACACGGACTCGACCTCAGCTGGGGTCAGCTATGATCTCACATCTCGAGCTGACATCACATGTAAATTATGCTGGGTAATCTCCTGGAGAAGGCCCATTCAACAAAAATAGTCCGTTCTCACTCAGAACATCTTTGAGAAGTCTACCTTCTTTCCTATTCTTTATTACCCACCCACGGGGAATCATATACGATATGTACATGCCATAGTAGAAATTGTGAGAGGCTCTGCGACATTGGCTGTTGCAGCGAGATTCACGCACAGAGTGCACTGCCGTACTCCGCGGCTAGATCGCTGCTGGAACCCTATACGACGTTGACACGGTGCGCTCCCGTTTTTTCAATTTATCGATAATAATAATTATCAATTAATTGCGAGAGATTATTATTCACTAACAAATTGTTAATCCTTCAATAATTGATTTAAATGAATACGCATAATCTGAAGACTTCAAATTCTTAATTGACGGGATTTGAGGTTAGGGCGGCCACAACTAGGTCCATCCCGCATAAACCCCGCGCAGCCCTGTCTCAGCGATCCTCCTGGGTACCTTTCTGAAGTACTACATCGCCGCAAAAGGCAAGATCGCGCGCCAGCTTTCCCCGCGACGTTTCGGCGCAACGATATTTCTACTAGGCTGGTCTGAAATTCGATGATGCGGAGGAGGCCTCGGCAGAGCACCAGTCTGGTAAACCGAAGATGTGGGATTATACCCCACCTGAGTTCGTGTCCGTGTGCCTCCGAATTTTTTAATTTGTGCATTGTTAATTATTGAACTGTTTCCCTCGGACAGAGGTTCGGCAATTTGAAAGATAGCATGTAGCATGCTACTTTATATTAAGATTTGACCGAGTGAAATAGTCCGGGGATAATACACAATATGAATATACCAGTGGAAATAATATCTTTCATTGTAATTTTCTACCTTCCTTCTTCTCCACTTGGTTTACAAATTTCCGAGTCTTGTAGAGTCGTGCACCCAACAGCAACTCCTTCGGATTGTCGCTATTGGCCCCGCCAACTCTCCAATTGAAGTCACCTCCGACGATAATGGCAAGGTCAGTGTGTTTCTCAGCTATGTTCGAGAGAACCTCGTTCAAGATGTCCACATCTAGCTCGTATTCTCTGAATTCTTCGTAAGAGGGATATAAACTACTCCGACAATAAAATTCCTGCCACGGGGACGATCTTAATAAAGATCCAACATTTGTTTAACTCAAATACTGTGAAGACGTTCTGTTTGTCGACCAGTAAGGCTAGTCCGCCACTAAGACGACGATGTACAGAAATTCTGGTTCTCTCTCCCAATATAGGAAAAATTGCTTTCCATCCAATGGGGAATCCACGTAGGAGAATTGTCCAACCATCTTCCAGAGACTCCAATGATTGTAGCGTTCTCGAAGAAGCGGAGAGCACCAAACAAGTTCTCCGCACCATAGCAATTCCAAAATATGAAGTAGGGAGCGGCCGAGGGAGAGGGGGGTCGAAGCTAATTGTTTGGCAGGGTGGAGGGGGTCGAATCTTATTAAACCCCACTGACCTGTCCCTACAGGTAGATAGCCCAAAGGAATGAAGCTAGCAGAAGTTTGATTTCAAATGATATAGGACCTTATTGACCTTCTTTACAAGTGCCCTCTCTTTCTTCGCTTTTGTCTGACTCTCTATCGGATTCCCTTGCGCAGTTTAGTTGCCTCGTTTTCTATAAATATCAGTTGTTCTAAGTTTTTGCTCTTCTTAGACATGATAAGTTGTTTAGTGTCCCAATTCAGTAGCTTCACCATATAAAACCCCTTTCTCTCTGGATCCAGAGCAGAAACTTTTTCAACGACTTCTGACACTCGGAAGACCTCAAGGAACAATTTTTCGATATCGACCTTCAAGTTGTTTGAATCAACCACAAGACCT